AAGCACCTTGCATCTGTTGTACGGAAGATCTTACCAAAGCAGATTGCCGACTGTGTTTGCCAGGCTGGCTCACGCCTTGCCCATCTTTATGGACTCCCTAAGACACACAAAGAGAATCTATCGATGAGACCTATCCTATCTGCCACCGGCACTTACAACTATGCCCTCGCCAAGTGGCTTGATGACAAACTGAAGCCCCTGTCAAGCAATCGCTACACAATATCAGATACCTTCTCCTTCGCCGATGAGATTCAAAACCTAGTCATCGACGAGAATGACATTCTGGTATCCTATGACGTCACGTCACTATTCACTAATGTGCCGCTTCAAGAAACGATCGAAATCATCGCTGAGAAGGCGTTCGCTGACAACTGGTTTAATACTACACACGACCTCAGCATTACAAAGCCTGAACTGGTTCAACTTCTAGAAGTTGCAACTATGAATCAACTATTCCAATTTGATGGCAATCTTTACGAGCAGACCGACGGTGTGGCCATGGGTTCTCCATTGGGCCCACTTATGGCAAACGCATTTCTCTGTTCTATCGAAGAGAAACTAGATCAAGACAACAAGCTCCCTGAATTTTACAGAAGGTACGTGGATGACACGTTTGCTATTGTCACAAGTGTACCAGCGGCAGAAGATTTATTATCAACGCTAAATAACTGCCATCCGTCCATACACTTCACCATGGAGCTAGCATCTGGAAACAAGTTACCTTTTGTCGGTATGGAAGTGCTCAAGAAAGGCTGTAAACTAGAAACTAGTGTTTATCGGAAACCAACAAACACAGGCCTATTGCTTCATCACCAGAGCCACGTCGATAAAAGGTACAAGAAATCACTACTTAAGACCATGTTGAATCGTGCATTCCGCCTGTCGTCCACATGGGAGTCCTTCAAATCTGAATGTGATCATCTAAAGATGATGTTTACAAACCTCAAGTATCCCGACCACCTCATCAATTCCACCATCTCTCACTTTGTCACCTCAGTTAGGTCGGAAAACCCTGGAGTGCAAGCTCAATTATCCGTCAACGAAAATGCTGTTCACCGAGTGGTTTTGCCTTTTAAAGATCAAAAGTCAGCTGACGCAGTGAAAAGGCAATTATCAGATCTAAGCAACAAAATCGATCACACCCTTCATCCCGTGTTCAAGAGTCGCAAAATCTGTGAAGATCTCAGAGTACGTGAGCCTAAACCTCCTATAGTTAGCCAACAATGCGTTGTATATAATTATAAATGTGATCTGTGTGATGCAGAGTACGTCGGGTACACCAGCCGGCATTTACATCAACGTATTAATGAGCACCGTAATTCGGCCATCGGCAAACATCTAAAGAACGACCACGGCCTACAAACCATCGGCGACCTGACCAAGCATTTCAACGTACTTAAAAAGTGCACCGGGAAACTGGACTGTTTAGTTCATGAAATGCTTTTCATAAAGAAGATGAAGCCCTCTTTGAACAAACAATCGGATTCCATACGCGCGAAACTATTTATTTAATAGTTTACATTTATGAACTCAACACGCGCAATTATTTATTTAAATATTTTAAATATTTTAAACTTTTTACGTTTGCCACCTTCGTACGGTATAAATTAACTATTCATTTTTATTCTCTTCTCACTTGAGAATGATGACATGGAGTCATCGAAACGTTGTGTGTTTTTCTCGCTAGTGTTTATTCTTAAATACAACCACTAGCCTAAAAAAACAGCTGAACTTTCCTCGAAAATCTCCCCACCTAGTGCACAAAAAAAGCTGACTCAACAATGATTTTTTCGTATATATATTTAAAAGGATAGTAACCTAACAACTAGTAGTAATAGAACCGGTATGGCCAATATGGTGCACTGACCATGTGTGTTCCGATGGTATGCTGTAAACTGTTTCCTTGTGACTGTGGCATACTCTGTCCTGGGGCAACAGAGATGTGGCTTGTCTGTATGGGTTGGGATATACCTTCTTTTGATTCCACCAAAGTCTCTGGAGTAGCTGAATGCACACTGGGAGAGCCCTGCAGAAGAGTATCGTCAGGTATTTTCATATTTGGTATTTCAAATAGCTTATCAGCGACTCCTCTCGACTGGATGCCCCTGCTCCCCTTTGGAGGAGACGAAAGATCTTGGGAATCTGGTTGAGATTTTAAGAGAAGTATAACATCCGAAGCCTTAGCACCTTGGCGAGATGGTTTAGATGGCAGATGCATACTGTCGTCAACATTCTTGTTTAGTCCCTCTTTGCTTGGTGCAGAAGCAGATCTTGGACGTACGGAGCCTGCACCAAAGGGCATCTGTTTCACGTTCATTTTCTCGCCTGCTTCTTTCCCCAATTTCCTTTCCTCCTTTTCCTTCCTTTGCTCTGCACGTCGGTTAGCCTTAGCAAGAGGACAACCTTTTGCAATATGGCCTATTTTACCACACTCGGAGTCACTTGGAGCTTGAAAGAAGTACCGCCGCAAAGACTGTTTTGGTATATCACATTGTGGAACTCCAAAGCGTTCACGTCCTCTGATAAACGTGGTCAGAATATAGTTCGCCATCTTCTTTGTCACGCCCGCGCCCAAGTTGTGGTCCAGATTGAAAGGGTCTGCAAAGCAAGTCGTACGCAAGTGAAGTAAGGCTTTTGTTTTAATTGACAGGAATAACTATTAAGTACACGAAAAGTCACAAATTACAAAACTGAATACAGCGCTCAATTCCAAGTTAATTCAATTACTGTCGGCCGCGGAATATTTTATATCTAATAACTTGGCTCCTTCGGAATTTTTTAGCACAAATTGTAAACAAAAGGTATCATAAGATTGGGGGATGAGTTTTAGCGGGAAGTTTGTTCGTGTTGGTATAAGTGCATTTTAAATGCTACTCTAATCTTACAGCGAAGCCGTACAGTGTAAAAAGCTTAACGAGATAATTGGCCACAACGTTCTTCTGAGTTGATCATATAGTCGAATGTGAGGAGTCTTGATTCGTGTTCTCAAGTAAAAAAGTAAAGAATAATAACACCTTACCCTCAATTGCAAACTCGTGTTTGGTCCACATTTTTTCAAATTTGGTCAACTTTTTCGTCCTTCTGCAACAAACCACGTCATGTTCGAAGTCAAATTCTTCGGTATAATATCTTAAAAAGTCATACCACAAGAGACCCACGCTGAAACTGTTCCTATCCTTTGGATTCCAGGCACTTCTCTAAGAATGAAAAGAGATAAGAACAATAGATTCAAGTGGTTCCGAATATAACGGCACGCATTCCTTTTCATGGATGTCTACAAAAGCATACATAGGTGATGGCAGGCAATGTAATCCTATGAATAATTATTTCTTAACAAAAAATGTATCTTTATATTTCATTTATTCGTTCTATTTTAATTCTACTTCTGGGTGCGATACCTGAAAACTAGCTTGTGAGTGTTTCTTACTAAAATCTCGGTG